AAATATTTTAAAAAAATATACTTATTTGTTTTTAAATGTGTTTTTATTAGTTATTTAATGTTAAATAACAACCGCTAACTATTATATAGTCAAACAGTTATATTTATCAAATCTACTATTTACCATCCACTATTCACCTTCCGCTATCTGCCATCCACTATTCACTAACTGTCATCCGCTACCAGCTACCATTATCTACTATCCGTTAAATTTTAACTATTGTACCAAACAGACCTTAATTTCAAAAGACGAAGACTACATAAAAAAGTGGGCCACCGCCATTTTTCGATTTTTTTTTTAAAAATTGTGTTAAGAAAAAAGGTTAAAATTATTTTTTTATAAAAATATACTAAAAGAATTTAAATTTTACATTAATTTCTACATAATAAATATATTTAATTAAATAATTAATAAATAAAAACTTAATTTTTGCTTTTTTAATATAAAATTACCATTAAAAAAATGTATATTTGTTGTATTCTAAACCTGCCGAAACAAGTTTAGAAAAATACTTCGGATTTTTAAAGAAAGTCGCTTCCGCCGACGGGGAGGATTACAATCACTTGAGAGCGAGTGAGCTCAGAGATGGGAAACTGCTGCTCGGATGTGGACGGCGGGATGGCTGCGGTGGGCGGAACCGCAGCCTCTGCAGCCTCTGCTACCAACAACCAGGACGAAGCCGTTGACCACTTCTTAAAGAAAACTGGCTTCCACGGTGGCTACTCTCAGATCGAGGTTCTCCATAAATTTCTCTGATTCAGTTATTGTAGCTTCGCTGCTATGTTCATGTTGACTTGAATCAACTGTTTTAAAAATCGAACCATTAGCATCATCAAAACCTTATGTTATATTCATCTCGAAAGCGAAAATTGAATGTTTTCATCAATTTTATGGATTTGTTTTTATAGAATTTCTTCATTGTTAATTGTGCTATTTAACTTGCTATACTTAGAGTGCTCAATTGTTGGATTTATTTTCCTCTGAAAAACATTATGTCTGCAGTTATCATTTTCTGCTTCAGATTTGCGAGACCGGGATGTGTTCTCCAAGGTACTGCAAAAATTCAGAAAATTCAACTATGTAGAAACTCTGCCCTTTGCTATTATGAAATTCAGAGCAGATTTTGATTCTTTAATTTTAATTTAGATTGTGTGATATATTGCTTCATTAACTTGTTTTTCTTGCTAAACAATGGGAAATTAAATCGTAGAGCATTTTTAGACAGCTATTTTAGAAAGTTATTAGCATAGGCAGGTAACATTCAGTTGAGTCGGCAGGTACCAGACAGTATTGTAGTTTTGTTGAACTTGAAGCTTCTTTGAACGCTGGTGTATTTACATTTTACAATTGGACAGTTGATAAATTATAGAAATATTTAAATGGTAGGTTTTAGCAAGTTGCAATTCCATTGTTCATTGAATCACGTGAAGAGGAGAAACAGCTATTTGATATGTTCCTCGCATTGAACAAGTGTTAATTGCAAGATAGTTACGGAGGGTTACTTGTGAGTGGTGGACCTGGTGATGAAAAGCATTACTTGGAAAAGGCAATTGCACATTATTGTAGTTAAAGTGTTCAATTATTAATCATTGAGGTTTATGAAAATCTACTCCTTGGTAGGACTGAAGAAAGATATATGGATATTGACAAGAAGTGGCATTAGCAGCCACAAGTGTAATGACCAAAGTGATGGCTTTTTATTTTTTTATTTTTTAAAAAGATGATATTTCTAGAGAGATGGGGAAGAAATTAAGAATTATTTTTATCTTCACAAGATTTTTGTCTATAATTAATGGAAGTCGGAAAGGCAAGTGAGAAAATTAAGAAATCTGCTGAAGAAAGGGATAAAAATAGTAATCACAACAAAAGAACTTAAAAACTTTTGATTGCCTTAAAAAATTGCTTGATGACAATAACCGAGCCCCCATTTCTGGGTATTGGGATGGCAATGGCCTGATGACCCCTTTTTGATATGAAAGAGAAGTTTTGATAACCAAAATGGATTTGGGAACTATAGTTTCTCGACCGCATCGATGGCTGATATAAGTACAGAGAATCGCTTAAAAAAGGCCTCAAAATTTGGATAATCTATTGACCAAACTACATATCATGATGCATATATGTACCTGAGGTTATGCATGACTTCAAAAATCTCTGTTGTTCTCTGTTTTGAGTCCTGTTGCCTTCAAAATTTAATTTCTTTCTTTTTTCGCTCAAGGAGGGAGAGATATATATGTGCCATATTACAACTAATTCTAGTAATTAAAATTTTGAATTTCCTTCTTTTTTTCTTTTTTCTTTTTTTTTTTAAAGAAATGCATTTTTTTCAACAATAAATGTATGATTTTTTTTAGCTCAAAGTCAAAATAATCAAGTTAATTACATCAATAATTCAAGATTTTAAAACTAATATCCAAATAGAAATCACATAATTAATATAATGTAACTTGCACTATATAACATAAATTATTGAGAATAAGAGGCAATAAATGAATTAAGCTTCCCATGATACTGGCATTCAAAGGCAAACATAGACTTTACAAATTACTGAAAGTTCTGGTTTAATTTTTTGTCAATTCCAAGACGAGATCCTTTTGATAGGGCGAACAAAGATGTAGATCCAACCGGCACAACATGTTCCCACAAATCCATTCATCATTAGTGAAAGAGTACTCTAATCCATGCATTACAAAGATTCTCTTCTTGAAAACATATGTAGCATATCAGTGATATCACACTAAAATACCATACGCCATCTTTGTAAACCCCTGACCCGAGTTTAGCCTATCCCCACATACACATTTCAGAATACAAACCCATTTCATCGAACATCTGGTGTGCATAACCAAAAAAAAACTCAAATCTTTCCTATCCTTGTTGCCTCTAAACCCAAAAATCATATAACCTGTTACCCAAATAATATAAATGACAATAACAACCAATTTGATCAAAATCAAATTACTAAAGAACAGTTCCTGATTGTTGCACAACCAATGAAAGATGAATTAATTAAACATTGACGATTATAAGAGAATTGAATTGAATGATAGCTAAGAGCCCCAGCTACCGGGTCCATCTAATAGTAGTTTTGCAAATAATAAAAAGACAAGTGAAGAAAAGAAGGCTTATTTTTATTTTTTATTTTTTGAACATGAGAGTGAGATTTGAACCTCACACCACCACTTAGATGAGACTGTCCATTACAATATATTAGGTGGCAACTTGGACCACAAGGACTTTTCAGAAAAGAAGCCTTATTAACTATAATGAATTTCAAGAATTTGATGCAGAAATTTCCATTGCTGTTCTCAATAAAATTCTGTAAATTCCATCAAGGGTTGAAGGACATTTTTGGCATTGGGATTGTCCCACTCTAGTGATTCCCACAATTCTTTTGGCTATATCTCAATATAATTTAGAGTAGCAGGAGATCAGTGCACATTCCTTACCAGGGGAATTCTCCTTAACTTTGGACATTCCCTTATTTTTAAGGGTAAACTATATGAATAGTCACTCACTTTTATCATAACTTTCGATTTAATCACTCATCTTAGTTTAATTTCCATCTGTTCATCACTTCCGTCAAGTCATGCCCGCCTTCGTCAATTCTATTATGTTTTATGCTAATGTGGCACTATTTATGTTGGCATGGCACCGAAGTGGCCAACTTGACTTACATGGTACCTACATGGAAAATAATACATTTTTTATTATTAAAAAATTTTTAGACAGCAAAAATAAAAATTGCAAACCTTAAATGGCAGAATAAGTAGCAGGTTTATGGTGGGCTAAGGAAGCTGACAAGAAGAAAAAGGTTTATTTTTTAATGGTGCAGGAGTCAAGTAACTGCGTGCCATTTTTTTTACGAAAATGCAATAGGTAAAACGTTACTTCATGTAATAGATCTAAAATTTAAAATATAAAGTGATCATATGATTTTTTTATTTAGGTATTTATTATGGGAGTAAATATATGTCAATCTTGATTTTTAAAATCAATTGAAGTATTAATTTTAAATTATTTTATTTTATTTTATTAAAATCTAATTTAAAATTAAAAAATATATTTTATTAAATGTTGATATTTTGATTTAAAAGCTAACTATATTAGAATATATAATTGATTTTTAAATCTAAATATTAACATTTAATGTTGTACATTTCTTAATTTTGAATTAAGATTTCGGTTTTTCAAATATAAATTAGGATTTTATTTTTTTTTATTAAATGTTAAAATTGATATACACTAATTTTTATTTTATAATATTATATATAGTATTGTGTTATATTTATAAATTTATAATTTTATATAATATTTTATATAATATTATAATATGAGGTTAATTTTTCAACTTTAAAAAAATTAAAGTCTCAACTTATATTTAAAAATTAAAATCTCAATCCAAAATTTTAAAATTCAATTATTTTTTAAATATAAATATTAATGAAGAAATACTAGTATCAGCTACACATGATGCTTCTATAAATCATAGAGATAAGTGCAAACCTGGCACTTTGGAAATGCATTAATGCAGTGTCCCAATTCTGATCTTGTTCAAACAACAGACCACCTTTCATATAGGAAGCATAGGCCTAGAAGTAGAAATACAAGAAAAAATACTTAGTGAATGGGAATGGGAAAATAATGGATTCATGCTTCATCAACTAATCAAGCAAATAATCTGCAAGTGCTCTGGTACTTTAACACAGTTTGGGAAATAGAAAATCGGAAAGATAATTAAATGCATAGCTGTCATCTTGAAGAAATCTTAGAGGAATGATGGAGCATATAAATAGCCCCTGAAACCAACTACAGGCACATAATATGCACTTGTCCTTTTCCTTTTTTTTTTTTCCCCTAGGTTTTCCACTTATTCTTTCTCTTTTCTCTTCGGTCTCCCTGGACATTATTTGCAAAAGTATGACAAAAGAGAACAAGTGCTTGCAAATTCTTCTTTCTTTTACATTGTCCCCTTCACAAAGGCAGCCCATAGAGGTTGCTTTTGCATCCATAAGAGTACCAGCAATAAAACAAACAACTATTCTCATTTCCACTTCCTATACAACATTGCACAACATATAATCAAGTAAATTGTAATTTAAAGCGGTTAGGCAGGAAATGTTTAAAATAATAAAGGATAAAGTCTGAACCTTTTCTTTTTGGTACAAATAATTCAATTTTTGTTGGTTACAAACCCTAAACCTAAAGCCTCAAAAGGGGTTAAATAGATGGAATATTCACCTTAACAAAATTAGAGTACCAAAAGAAATGAAAAAGGTGAAAAAATAAAATAAAATATGAAGAGAAATCAAAATATGTTCCCTTGCCCATTCACTATGTGCATAATAATATGTCCACTATCTTAAACTTTTATAAAACTCGATCACTGAGATGGATGAAGAAATAATACTAACTAAACTCGAATAAAACTCATGCAACCAAATTACATCTCTAAACCAAACCTCAAACACACACCATTAGGACCGAGACAGGGGAAGGAAGAACCAATGCAAGAAAGAAAATAGAAAATGCTGAAAGCATAAGCTATATATTTTCCAAACTCCAACCATTACAAATGAAAGGTGTAAAGTAAGTAAAAGAAATCATCAAATTGTAGACACACCTCAGCTTCTAAGGATGTTCTGGAATCTCCTTTAATAGCACACAAATGTGAAAAAAGATTCGCCCATTTTACAGCCTTCCTCAGTCTGCCAATTAAATAGATGTGCTGGCTTGCGTTTGGGCCATCTGGAAGCTGTCTTTTCTCCATGGCATGGCTCCACGCTCTCTCAGCCATATAAAGAACCACATGAAGAAATCTACTTATAATCCAAGAAAACATGGGCATGCATTAACCTTCTTCATTTCCTGCAAAGCCATTTTCTTTTCATTTTTCTGAAGCACCCTAATCAAGTGCAGAGTTCAAGACACAAACCTCACTTCAGTGACAGCGGATTCAGTTATTGCTCTTCGAGTGTATTTACCACGACCATGTTTGAACTTCAATGATTTATACAACCTCCTCAATCGAGACGTGCAGTATCTCCTGCACACAAATTTCATTCATTTCACCACAAATTCAGAGATTGCACTTGAACAAATCTCAATGTCACTGTGAATATACCGATAGCGAGTGTAATCTCCATGCTCCAATCCATGCTGCATCTGAGCTGACTTCAGAAGCCGCAATACTGCAAGCAAAATCCGTCAATTACAAAATTCACTAGGTCCAACGTGAGAGTTGAAGATGCTTTCACACTGCCTTCCAAGCCAACCCCAGATTCTCTCCACTTTCTCATAAACCGACCTACAGACTCAAAACATCATCTTTCCGACCCCTGACTGCCATTCCCCCTCTCTCCGTTGCTGGCTCGGTAACAGACCTCCGGTAGTTGACGGAACCACCGTTGCTGTTATTGGAGGTGGGTCTGTTGCTGTACTCGCCGCTGCCTCTCCCTCGTAGACCCCGAGCGGCGGCGCCAGTTGCAGGCGGAAGAAGTGGGCGGTGGGGACAAGGAAGTAGTAAAGGAGTACTTTTAACAACTCGGGGTTTCAGAGGTGGAAGAGGATTTATGGAGAGACCGATGACGTGAATAAGGTGCAGCTTGATATTACGCTTGGGCACTCGAAGACGGTGGCGAATGTGATGAGAATGTTGACTGATGAGGGGTCACTGAAGGGGGTGACTGTGTGTGATGCTGGATGTGGGACTGGGTGCCTCGCAATTCCGTTGGCGGAGGAGGGGGCAATTGTCTCCGCCACCGATATTTCGGCTGCTATGGTGGCGGAGGCTGAAAAGCAGGTCAGTTGAGTGCTGGTAGTTAACTCTTTACTATTGTTGTTTTTGATTTTTAACTATTTTAACTGTTTTTGGAAAAATTAAGAGTTCCTGTGCTTGGTTAATTGGATTTACAAAGTGGAATGTGTTATGCAATTGAGTGATTATTGGGTTCTTTGTCAAGTTTGTAACTTTTTGATAGAATGTGTTGATTGTAAATTTCTCTGCAATAAATAGATTGTGAAGCTGAGTAGTATGTTAATTTGATGCAGGCCAAAGAGCAGTTATTGTTCATTTTTTCTCAAAGAAAAGAATGGAGAGAATCTGGAGGAAGATGAAGAGCAGAACATGGAGAGAAGTGTATCACTTCAACTCAAATTTTTTCATTAACTCACTCTCCTATATATAGGAGAATACAAACTTTAAAATAATTCAAAATTCAAACTATTCTACATTAAAAAACAATAAAAGTACATTTGAAATTTGAAATAATAACAGCCACTTTTGCTGCATGCTTGCGTCCTTTGGCAGCTCTGCAGCCTCTTTGCAGCCTTTCATTTCCTTTGCATTTGCATTTGCATTTCATTTGCTGCTCATTTGCAGCTTCATTTCATCAACATTTGCAGCTTAGCTTGCTGCACATTTTTGCTGTCATTTGACAGTTTCATTTTCATCAGATTTGCATCTAAATTGCTGCCATATTTGCTGTCAAATTGTGGCTTCATTTACTGTCAATTTCCAGCCTCATTGCTGCCATTTCATGGCAGTTTCATTTCATCATTTCTGCAGATTTGAATGCCACATTTCTAACAATAATTCCAACAGTTATCAGTAGGAAATGGTGACGCAGAGCCTGTGATTTCAAAATTTGAAGTGAGGGATTTAGAGAGTTTAGATGGGAGATATGACACTGTGGTTTGTCTAGGTGTTCTCATACATTACCCTCAGAGTAAAGCTGATGGTATGATTCCACACCTTGCTTCATTAGCTGAAAAGAGGTTAATTTTGAGCTTTGCACCGAAGACATTATATTATGATCTTCTTAATAGGGTAGGAGAATTGTTCCCAGGGCCATCAAAGTCAACGAGAGCTTATCTTCATGCAGAAGCAGATGTAGAGAGGCCATTGAATAAGGTTGGGTGGAAAATAAGAAAGAGATGTTTAATCACTACGCAGTTCTACTCTGCTAGGCTGGTTGAAGCTGTTCCAGCGTAGAGGAAGAGGTCAGATTTTAATTCGGTTTTCTTTCACATTTTCTGTTGCTAGAAATGTTAGCAAATCTCTCAAGTTTCTTTGTAAAGCCATTATTTTTCCACCAAAATTGCCTTGATACCTATATCATATTTTAGATGTCTCATCTGTATAGCTAACTTCAAATGCTACTTAATTAACATTTTGTTGGTTGTTATTGAAAAGTTCACTAATTCATATATCTCAGAAGCATGCAATACACCTTTTTTTCCCTCTTCAAGCCATGTGCATAATTCAGGGAATGAAATGGTACCCTTTTCTTCAGCTTTCCTTCATTTTGGTCAGCTAGACTGCAAGAGGTTGGGAATAGGTATTATAATTCATTGATCAAAACTGCCTAACTAGGTTCAAACTCCCCAAGCTAGTTCAATATTCAACTTAGAAAAACTCATTAGAGAACATCAAAATCTCTGAATATCAGAGGGTGACGTGGAATATCAAAAAAATAATAATAATAAACTCTAAATTTTTTTTTTCTGTTTTCCTTATTATAATTGTAAATCCTAAAAGAAAAGAGGATTGTCCTCTAGACTACTAATGTGGTAAGAAAATTAAAGACACCTGGAAATCTATTTCTTGCATACTTTGTCATATTGCAGGAAGCTGAAAGTTGCTGAGTTTTTTTTTTTTTTCTTATAACCTATCAGCAATTCTTACTAGAGCATCAGTGAGCTTGTTGATAGCGGCAACCAGGCTTTCAGAGTGCCCCTTCCTTTGGTCCCTATCCAGTTGACAGTTTGTGTTTTGAGCTTGAATCTGCTCATTTACCAGGTTACCACTCCTTTTTAGTACCTCAATCAATGGGTCTAGCCTTCCATCTTCACATTCATCCAGTGTTGACCGCGTACGCTTCAATCCCTTCTGAGTCATAGACCTTGTCCACTCACTCAAGGTTGGATGTTTTTCTTTCACTTTATCTGCAACACAGAAGCAGAAGAATGGAGGGAACATTTATATGCTTTAAGTTCTTAGTAGTTAGTAGTGATTAATTATGAAGTATTGTGCCCAGTCATATCTTAAATCAAAGCTAGGAGGTGAATTTATGTTTATTTAAATGAATGTATTAGCATGCATATTATCTTGCTGTTGAATGTTAATACATGTGATAAACCAAGTTGTTTGACCTAATACCAATAGCAATAAAACGAGTCCTAATTAGTAGTGCAATGAAGAACATTTATGCCACATTTTGAGCTGTTTATATAAACCCAAATGCTAGATTGAAGACCAATAAAAGAATAAATAAAAATGAATCTTGAGCTCCAGATTGTAGATTGATAGATATTTAAGAAAATGCAAATCAGGGCTAAGCAATGCTTTCAATGATCCTAAGAAAGAAAAGCACAGAAACTTTAACACACCTGAAATAGGAGACAGAGTATTAACTGTCTTCTTGATTGTCATGCTTGTTTCAATAGTCTCCTTCTCAGATTCCTGCCCAGGCTGTTCATAATTAGAGAATAGACCATCTTCTGCTCTAGGGTGTTGGTGTCCACTATCAAAAACTGCTTCAAAAACAAAACTTCATCTCGAGTCTCATGTTCCTCTGTTGTTGCTTCCTTTTCATCATCACTGCCCATTTCTGTTGTGGCAGTAATATGTGCTAGTGGAATTGCTGTCATGGCAAACTTTCCTCTGTCCAAGGCATCATATACTTTTCTGTCAAAGAAACCAGGCAGCTTTCTCTCTCTCTCTTCAAACTACCAGTTCCCATCACCCAGAATGAATCAGCTTCCTCCTTTATCTGTAACTCCCAGGTTTTAATTTTGTTGTAGTCACAAATAATATTACTCCATCTTTTCCTGCACTGCACAGGTTCTCTGTCAACACCATGCTATTTGCAATATGATGAGACAGATCCCACTTTGGTTCATTCTTCTCTGATCCATAAGCTGAGGTAGATTGCGCCTGGCTCTCTATAGCATTTTTTCCTTGTATGAGAACAATAGTCTTAAATCTTGTCTATAGAGGGTGTCTCTTTGTTTTAGTCCTGCCATTAGCATTATCAAGTGGCTGTGCTACTTGTCTTTTAGGCTGAGATCTGGGAGTTGGATGTGTCTTAATTGATTCTGCTACCATGGTAAACGGGCTTCCCAAGCCACAAACCTCAGCTTATTGAACTGAAAAATGTTGCAGGTTATGGTTCCGTAAGATGGAGGGGTGAGGGTACAACTTTGAAAACAAGAGGAGGAAGGCTATTTGAGATCGCTAGGGTATTAGTCTATTAGCGGGTGGCCTCAGATTAGGGCAGACTTTGTGTTCTTTCCTAACATATTCTAAGAGTGTAGTAGGATATAAGAAGGGCAAGAATTAGGGCAAAATCTCTATCATTGTTTCAAGCATCTTGTATCTTATATTCTTGCCATTTTTGCAATGATTTTGATACCATATAGGTAACCCTGCCCTCCCTCTAAGATACCTACTCTCCAAATGGGGGATTCACTTATTTGGTCTTTGGACACCTAAATCAAGTAGCTCCTTCCCGTTCTTGATTTTTTTTTTGTGAATGATTCTGTAATTATGGTGAGATAGAAGAAAACAAAAGGGAGCAAAGAGGGGGAAATATTCTCTCTTGTGTGGTGAGCAATAGCTTGCAATGCCAGGAAAAAGATGCCGAGATCCCTTGCTCTGGTTTCACTCTTTATACCTTGAATCTCTCTCTCTCGTTCTTCCTCATTTGCTCCTTTTGGGTAAATACCAGTTGCTTTCTCTCACACTTCGTGTCAATTCAAGGCATAAAAGCTGCAGAATTTTGGGGATAGAAAACAGAATTCGAGGTTTTTGTGAGTGGTTTTTTTTTGAAAGGTGCAATGGGTTCTGTTTTATTAGTTCTGTTTTATTAGTTCAAACTTAGCTGCTTCTTGTAGTTTTTATGTTGTGAATTGGGTTTTTTAGTCTCAATTTTCCATGTTAAGTTGCGTGATTTAGGCTTTTCTTTTGTCTTTGCTTTACTGATCCACTCAAAGGGTATTTTGGTTTTGTTGTTTGCTAAATGGGAATTGGGTATTTGAAAGCTGTGTTCTAAAGTAGAAATGATTTGGTTACAGAAATGCAGAGTTACTTTATACTGATTTGTAAGTTAAGGTTTTTCTTTTAGGGTTGAAACTCTATAAGAATTTAGATTAATTACTTAGATAATTTTTGAAAATAAAGGGAAAGTAAAATTTGATTGTTGAGTGTTTATTTGTTGTTTGAAAATGAAAATTTTGCATAACTGAGAAACAAAAGTTTATTATTATATATGCACACTGCACAGTGGTAGAGATTGATAATTAATTGCCATTTTTTCCCCTCTGTTACTATTATAGGTTTTGTGCTTCTGCTTTCTTTCAGTTCCTTACCTTTTCTCGGAAACCAAAGGGGATATTTGTTTGTTGTTGGTAGGTGAACTAGTTACTTTCATTTTTGTGATAGTATTAATTGAATTTGTGAAAAAAGTAAAAAGAAAAAGAAAAGAGAACTGCCTTTTATTTTTCCCACAAACCTTGATTATTAGTGATTGCCTTTTCATCTTATCTTAACTAGGTGATCTCTGTTTTATATCCTTAATATTATAGATCAAGGGATTGGTTCTTATTTATTTCTTTTTTCCTGGTATTGAATCTCTGATTCGTTCGTCCTTAGTAGAACACATTTTCTCATATCTGAAGTTTATTCATATTGAATACTTTTCAGGATACAGCCATTAAGTCCTGAGCAGAACCACAAGTGGGAGCATTTGAAATTTCATTTCTATTTTGAGTCCTTTCTTTTTCTTTTTCTTTTTTCTTTTTTTTGTTAATCTTTTCTGGTGAAGAAGTTCCCTGATGCCGTTTGGGATCATGGATCAATGGGTTGTATCTTCATCTTTTTTTTGAAGATGCCAGGTTACCATCTGAGGTATTCTAATTTCTAACATGTTTATTGTTGCTTCAATTTCAAACCTGTAATTGTAATTGCTCTTTCAATATGGGACTGGTGTTGGTTTATTTGTTTTAAGATATATTGCATATATTAATCATTCTTATAAAAAGTCTTTAATCATCATGGAATTAGAAAAGATTAACCCTCTTTTTTTTTTTTTTTTTTTTCAACTTTTGTTGTATAGATGCAAGTTGGTTCCTGGAACCGAAATATCACGCTTGGTAACTCAGGTGAGAACTGTTGCATTAATAAGTGATTTGGTTCTGTCTGCTAATAAATTTAAGCAATTTCATTCTCCATGTCACTGGCTTTTTAATAGGCACTGACTCTCAGGATGAGATTTTGGCTGGGGGATGTTATTGTATAGGTACTCTTGCTGGTTATTTGTGGATTAATCTTGACATTTCTGCTAAAGAAAGTGTAGCAAATCTATTGATGGTACCTGTGCATGTCTGGTGTTTGCAAGACATGCTAAATCATTATGACGGAGTAAATGACTGAATGCATCAATAAACTGGACGGGCTGGTTGCAACTTGAAACCACTTTGTTTTGTGTTGTCTGTATCCAAAGTGCTTGAAGTTTTTGTGTCTTGATTATAGCATATATGTGTATTCGAATAGTACCTTACTACCTTTGTTTGCATCATCTCCACACAAATACATTTTAAGAAGTCAGACATTGTAGACTGGTGTGATAACCTTAACTTAAGAAGTTTAATGGAACACTTCTTTTGCATTTTTGTGGCAAAATCTACCTCGTTGACCATTGCTAAGCATGCTTTCATTGTATTTCACATGGTTGGTTCTTTCCTGTTGCCTTGTTGTGTCTTATGCTAGCTGAGAAATTTTAAGCCAGAGATAGGTTCAAAACAGCTTTATTAATTTTTTCTTGTGGTCAACTGCACTAACAGTCTTTAGTTGGTGTGCCTAATTATGCATGATTTGAGCCTTTTACATTTAATATCTTGTTGTATTCTAATTTTGGATATTTTCAATAGAAATTCCACATGTGATTTCCTATTTAAGAATGATTTGTCTTTTTGACAGACAAGATAGCTGCTTTATCATCATTGAAGCCACTGTCAAATCTGGCCAGAGACCAAGAAGGGAAGCTAGGCATGGGGGGAATTTCTAAAGGACTAATTTCCAATTTGTCTGAGAGTTCATGGAATTCAGTGGATCACCATCCAAAATAATATGAATGGAAACAGGACCAACACCAATTTCATCCAGCATGAAAGCAGTCTGTTCTCTAGCTCATTGTCAGAAATATTTAGTGGAAAGCATAAGATATCCTCTTTATGCATTCTGAGCTTGTGTGTTCTTGACATGTTTGATCTGCTTCTCTCAGATTTCCTAAAAGAAGATACTTTATTGGACTTAATGCTTGATGGTTTGACAGATAACCCTTTTAATTTGCCAGTGTAGTGCTCCAAACATTAATGGCAAACATAAGTTGTAGAAGTACAAAATGACTTTTTTATTTGTTATTATTTGTCTCTCTATGTCCCAGGCATTTCCTCTTAAACATTAATGTCAGAAAATCAAGCATTTTGTGTAAAGAAATGAAAAATAGTTTTAAAAATCATTATATTTGCTTAATTTCCTGTCTGATTTGTGCTTTAATTTTCTTATCTTTATGTAGTGCAATTATTGAGGAATGATGCTCCAACTCTTCTACCTAGCTTTAAGGTTGGTTCAGACCATGAGGAAGAACCTTTAGAATCCCTTGAAGAAATTGAGTTGCAGACCATTGTAGGAGCATCTAATGGTTCAATTGTTGGTGGACACCCTTCGAGAACACTTTTTGTGAGAAACAATAACAGTAATGTTGAAGATTCTGAACTCAAGGCACTTTTTGAGGTTTGTATTCCTTCATTTTTTTACAATATCTGTTGGAATCTTTGTCTCCTCTTATGACCTGTGGGAACATTTTTAAGCAAATTGGATTAATGGTTGTTTCCTGTCAGCAATATGGAGATATCCGTGCTCTCTACACAGCCTGCAAGCATCGTGGTTTTGCCATGATTTCTCATTATGATATAAGGGCAGCCTGAAATGCAAAGAGAGCTCTCCAAAATAAGCCATTTAGGCATAGGAAACTAGATATACATTATTCTATTCCAAAGGTTGTCATTGCTGTTACTAGCTTCATTTATCTGATTCTTTCATCTGGGTGTAACACTTTGTCTGATGAATTTTTTATTTGCTTGATAATACAACAGGGTAATACATCTGAAAAAGATGTCAATCAGGGAACACTGGTGGTTTTCAATCTTGATGCCTCTGTTTCAACCAATGGGCTTCAACAAATTTTTAGTGTTTTTGGAGAAATTAAAGTAAGCATGTGGTTCAATGGATTCCTTAGGTTTACACTCTCTTTTAATAGAGTGACAAGTATTGTGGTTAACTCTGCTTTGCAGAGCCATGAGATTTCACCTGAGCAAAATCACAAATTCATTGAGTTTTATAATGTTAGAGCTGCTGAAGCTGCTCTTTGTGCATTGAATAAGTGTGACTTTGCTGGGAAGCAGATCAAAATTGAACCAAGTCCTCCAGGGGGTGTAAGACGGTATTATCATTTACCAGCACTATTTTCCTTTCTTTTTCACTGTTTTAGGGAAGTGATTCTGGCTTTCTAATAGGGGGATGAGAGCTATATGCTGTTTCTTTGTTCTGGGCCTGGATGTGGAAAGGTTTGTATTACCCCTTATATGATGGTTTATGATTTTACTTCCATCGTCATATTCTGCTGTTAATGTTGAACTATCAATAACACACAATCAATTCTTTTGGGGCCATATAATATGCAATTAGTATAATTGAGCTGTTTCCTTTTACTTTTTGTCTTTTTAATTTTACCTCTAGAAGTAGTAGATATATGAAAAGGATTTCCTTTTTGCAGTTTTATGCAACTTTCAGACCAAGGGCAAGATGAATCTAGTAATCTCTGTCAAAGTTCTTTGGATGACTTGATGGCAAGACACATGGGTATGGTTTGCCTATTAATTGCTTATTTGTTCTCATCAATTATTGGTCACTTATTTTCTTAGTACTTATTTTCTGTTATTTCATTATCATTTACTGAAACAGCCAGGGTAAGTGCATCTGGCTACATGGATAATGGATCCAGCCCGATATTACATGATGTTATATGGTCACCTGTGAATACATTTATTGGACCTAGTCAAAGTTCTAGTGTTCCGATCAACTTGCCCTCTCCTGCAAGAGTGGCATCTGTTAACAACCAATTTAATCTCCAGGAGCCAAACCACACTCTAGATGTAATGAAGTTCCGGAACCAGTGCATTACAAGTTTCCATCCCCATTCCTCTCCCAAGTATCATGATAATTTAGCCAAAAGCCTTCCATCTAACTCCTCAAGCACCATTCCAGACATGGTTAGCAGTTTTGTTTCCCAAATGACTGATGGACTTGATAATAGGAGCATTCATGGAGTGAGTACAAATGGGCACCTGATAGAACCTAATGGAGGGGGTAAGTTATCTTGGTTAGATTTTACCATTGATAATTTTCACATAATTGCGTCACTTGTGACAACTGAGATAGAGAAAGTAACTATAATTTTTAAGAGAACTGCTAGTATTCTTTTAAGTTGTTCAGTTGATTTATTAGCTGATTCCTTCTCTCTAGTTTTTGGATCATCTGGTAATGGAAGCTGTTTGCTTCATGGAAATCATTATGCATGGAACAACTCCAACTCACATCAGCAGCACCCTTCAAGTGCCAGGATTTGGCCCAATTCTCCCTCTTTTGTCAGTGGTGTTCAGCATATGCCTGCATTTCCTAGGGTACCTCCTGTTATGCTGAATGCAGTATCACCTGTACACCATCACATTGGGTCAGCACCACCAGTTAATTCACCATTATGGACAGGCGACATGCCTATGCTGGGAAATCTCCTGACACCTCCAGTTTTCACTTAGGATCTCTAGGGAATGTTGGATTTCCTGGTAGTTCTCCATCACACCTTGTGGAAATCGCTTCTCACAACATTTTCTCACATGCTGGTGGAAACAATGGTGTGGTACACGCTCCTCAGCAAATGTGTCACCTTTTCCCTGGAAGAAACCCTGTGATATCCATGCCAGGTTCTTTTGAGTCTCCCAATGAATGTGTGAGAAATTTCTCACACCATAGAAATGAATTGAATTTTAATAATGCTGATAAGAAACAATATGAACTTGACATTGACTGCATCATACACGGGGAAGACAGCAGAACAATGCTGATGATAAAGAACATTCCAAACAAGTATGTGAATGATTTTCCTGTTACACCAGCTATTTCATTCTTTATTTGCTTCATCTTCCATCTTTCTAGTTATACATTTGTCATTTGATTTTAATATTTTTCTTTATGTTGAAACCGTCATATGATGGAACATTTTTTCCTTCACTAAGGTCACATCTAGTTATACATTCCTAACTTCCTATGGAAATTTCTTAATTTTTAGCTTGTTTTCATAGTTTCACCTAGTAATAGCCAGTCCCACCAACCAAACAAGCCCTAAAGGACTAGAACCTGTAGATGTTGTGAGTAGGACTAATAACAATTGACTTTGAAATCACAATTGAAATTCCCATAGTTTTGTTTATATTTTTTACAGTATTGTGTGAGTCATTTTAATGTCCATAGTCTATAATGTTGTTAAAGTTGGTGGTGAATGGTTGATAATTTCGTCATATGTGATAATATACCTGTTGTTTGAGGCCAAAAAAAAAAAAAAAAAAAAAAAGAGAAAAACCATTCTATTATGGATACTTTTGCTTCTGGTTTCCCCTTTTTCCTTGTCTACTTCGTTATCAATCTGATAGTCTTTTTTATGCAGGTATACCTCAAAGATGCTTCTGGCTGCAATAAATGCGCACTGTCAACGAAACCTCATTTCTAACACTTATTTGCCAATTGACTTCAAGGCAATTAATTTTTTGATGAGCTCGTCTCCCCCTTGAAGTGCCTTAGGCTGGGGTGATTGGAGGTTGAAGAAATCCTCATTTCTAACACTTATTATGACCTTAATACCTTATTATGAAAGAGCATGTATTTCTTTTTCTAACTTGAGACTTGTGACTATTGTCAACAGAATAAATGCAATGTGGGCTATGCATTCATCAACATGATTGATCCACAACAGATTATTCCATTCCATAAGGTTTGATATGGGATTTAGATGTTGTAGTGCTTTTTCATATTTACAAAGATTTTTTTCCATTTTAATGTGTTATTAAACCAATTTGCAGGCATTCAATGGCGAAAAATGGGAAAAGTTCAACAGTGAAAAAGTGGCATTGCTTGCATATGCTAGGATTCAAGGAAAAGCTGCTCTTAATCGCCCATTTCCAGAACTCAAGCTTGATGAATGAAGTAAACAATGCCGTCCTATTCTTTTTCATACTGATGGTCCGAACGCTGGTGATCAGGTAGGTTATCATGTCAAACTAGTGAAGTAGCTCATAAAGTCTTATCACTTATTTGGTTTGAGGGAAGGGATTGAAATTTCCCTATTTGGATAACAAAAAAATTGGAAGGGGGGAAATGGAAGGAAACAGAGGGGAGGGGAGGGAAATGGACTCTGTTTCCATATCTCTCAAACCAAACAGGGGGTTAAGGTTTAATAACTTGTGCTACACAGCATGAGTGATTGCATTAACTCATCAAACACCTTGTCACTTTGAATCAGAGTGACTAGTTTTCTTTTTGATGCAGGAGCCGTTTCCCATGGGGTACTAAAATTGGATCAAAACCTGGAAAGCCTCGAACAACCAGCCCAGAGAACAATAGCCAAGTTAGCTCCTCGACTTCAGCAATGGGGAGGAGCCTTCCAATGGGGTAGAACCTTGGTCAGGTTATCCCAAGTATTCTAACTGAGCTATCTGCTTTACCAAGCAGTAATTGTGGAAGAGTAGTTTTGATAATCCAAATGCATTTTGTAACTATAGTTTCTTGACCATTCCATCTGTTTCTAGGAAAATTTTTGTATGAATGGCCAATATGAGCATAGAGAACAACTTAAAATGTTCCCAAGTCTATCCATAACTCCAGGGATCCTTCTTGTTCTCACTTTTGTATATTGATGTCTCCAGATGTAATTTCCTTTCTTTTTGCTCAAGGAGGGAGAGAGAAATGTCATATTATAAGTATTCTAGTAATTGAATTTTTAAACTTCCTTCTTCTTTCATTCATCCTTTTTGTTTTTTTTTTTTTTTTTTTTTTTTAAGAAACACTTTTATTTTAATAATAAATGTATGATTCTTTTTTGCTCGCAGAGATAATCAAGTTAATTACAACAATAATTTAAGATTTTAGGACTAATATCCAAAGAACAATCACATAACTATATAATGTAACTTCCACAACATCACACAAGTTAATGAAAATAAGAAGCAAGAAATGAACCGGGTTTTACATAATACTAGCATTCAAAAACAAATAGAGATTTCAAAGATTATGAGACAACATTCAAGTCAAGTAGATGTGCGGAATCGACCCATTGTTTTGGTTTAATTTCCTGCCCATTCCAATATGAGATCCTTTTGACAGGCTGAACAAAGATGCAGACCCAAGCTGCACAACATGATCCCACAAAGCCATTCATCATCAGTAAAAGAGAAGTATGAGCATTAGGGAGTAATCTAATCCACACGTTACAAAGATTCTCAAATCGAAAACATACGTAGCATATCACCCTAAAATACCCCACACCATCTTTCTAAACCCTTTGTAGCTAGTGTAGCCTATCCTAGCAAACACATTCCAGAAAACAAACCCATATCTCCACACAAGCATTTCATCAAATACCTGATGTGCATAACCAAAACTAAGCTCAAATCTTCCTAGACTTGTTGCGCTCCAACCCTCAAAAATCATATAAACTTGACAGTCTTTCTTACAAATCACAATAGATCAATTAAATGACAACAAAAACCAATTTGATCAAAAATCAATTCACACAAGATTAGTTAGTTGTTGATCCATTACCCACTAGATGAAAGATGAATTAATTAAACATTAATGATTTTGAGAGAATTGAATCAAATGATGGCTAAAAGCATCAGCCAAAAGATCGATCATATATATGAACCACAAAAATATTTGGTTTCAAATGTTCGACGGTGAATATATGATTAAAAAAAATAAAGGATATTTAAAAAAAAAAAAAAGGGAAAAAAGAAACGAGAGTGAAATATTGCAGTTTGAACATTAATAAGAAAAGAAAAGAAGGCTTACCCGTGGTCTTGGATCTCGGCCATTTGATTTTATGCAAGACTTTCCATTTGCAGTCCTCAAAATAAATGCACGAAGGGTTGAAGGACATTTTTGGCATTGGGATCGTCCCACTCCAGTGATTCCCATAATTCTTTTGGCTTTATAGAGATACTTTTTAGAGCAGCAGGAGGAGATGGCCGTACATTCCCTACCAGGGGAATACTCTTCAACTTTGGACATTTCTTTATTTCTAATTCTTGGAGAGAATCACAAACTATTACTCCTCTTGTGGGGCAGATTCTCTTCAATTCTGGTAAATTCTCCAACTCCAAATGTGTTAATTTTGGAAGAGTGAATGTAGTAGTAGTAGTTGTATCAGCTGCGTGATTTTCCTCTTCTCCTTCCCAGCCTATTATTTCCTTCATTTGTTGACAATTCTGAACTGTGATCTGCTCCAAGTTTTGGAGGCCTTGCAGCAGCTCAAATGAAAACAACCTCTTCATTGTAGAACATTCATCCATCACAAAGAATTTAAGATTGGAAAAGATGTGAGGCGATGTTGCTTCTACTCCCTCCACGTTCGCAACAACACTCAAGTTGGGCAACTTATAAAGCCATAGATATTCAAGGTTATTAATGAAAGATGATGATGACGTCACCATGTCAACCACACACTCTATCTCTTCACACTCAGAAATGGAACAGAATTTTAACTCAGTTGTTTTTTGGGGAGAATAAATATCACTTAAGCTTCTAAATTTTCTACACTGATGAATCCATAGATCCTCCACGTCATCTGGAAGCACCACACTATCTTCTCCACCCATCTCACATTCTCCTAAACTTATTACTTTAGAGAAATGAATGTAAAGATCAAAGGTGTCCTCCACTTGTCCAACCACAAGCTGGTAATTACTCAATCTTTTAAAATGGTCAAACTTGACATAATTGTTCAAGTCTTGCAAGTCATACAATTGAGCTTGAAAAGTCTCCAACTTCTTCAATCCTCTTGCTTCTTCTCCTTTTATCTTTAAAGTAGTCGATCTGGAATATACT